GCCTTGGTTTTCTTTCTAAGAGCATTCTCCAAGCCATGGCCAGAGAAACAGAATCCAAGCAAAGAATGTGTATTTTCTGGGCAAAAGAAATATTTGTGCTTACTATGTGTAGGCATCTGGTATTTGGGACTAGCATCCCAAAGAGGAGCAGATCTACAAAGAAGAAACCCCAACAGTCTATGTAAAAATTCTCCATGGGTCTTTGGCCAACTCCTGAGCAGCACATCTCAAGGCAGTCTTCTGGAGGGGTTAGGTGGGAACATTTGCTTGGAGGCTGAAAAGTAGCACAGAGATTTCAGAAATTACATGATGCTGAGGACACAGAGTTGCAGTTCGGGCCCAGCCAAAATGAAGACATGTTGGTAAACAGCCTGAGGCATTACCAAACAGAGCATAATAATCCAGTAAATATGTGTGTATTTTATTACATAAAAATTTAAAACTAATTTATGGCTGAAGAAATATAGATATAGCCAAAGAAAAAATAATATACTGGGAAAATAAATTTGTGGAATATATGGCAAAGTTAGTCTCCTTAATTTATAAAGAATTCATGCAAATCAGAAAGAAAAAGAGAAACAACTCAAGAGAATAATGTGCTGAAGATATGAAGAGGTCATTTACTGCAAAGAAAATAAAATGGTCATTAATCATATGGAAAGGTATTTAATCTTACTGATAATTCAAGTAATTCAGGTAAAACAAATATAACTGACTACTTTCCACTCATCTATTTGAGAATATAGAAAAGCTTCACTGATACATATGAAAGGAAAATAAATTTATACAATCTTTCTGGATTTGGCAATGTTAACAACATTTAAAATATACTTACCTGTTAATCTTATAATCTCCTAATTAGGATTTCATCTTATCAATATCCTCACAAAAGCTGTTTAACAAATAAACAGAAGGATACACACTGGAGTATGTTTTAATACTGTGAAATTGAAATTGAAAAAAAATGACTCCAGGAGTAGGAGCCTGAGTGACTAATTTACTGTACATTGTTATGTAATCATTGAAAAGACTGGGTCTTCTCCATGTACCAATATGGAAAGGTCTCGCTTATTAGGTGAAAAAGTAAGATGCAGGAAAATAATAAGATTGGTTTGCTTTGTTATAGCAGCTGGCATTACCAGAAAATGTAGAGATTTAGTAAGATAGAAGTGGGAAATTTCAGTTTGGTGGGTAGCTCTACTTCACTAGTCATTTCAGACCCAGGTTACTCCCAACTTGTTTATTTACCATTCCCTGAGAGCAAGGTCTTATCTTCACGGTCAAATCCAAGTCACAGATACAAGGAGTTCAAGTACATAGAAAGAGAAAAGAAACACATTGTCAGCATGACTAGCTCAATGCACCAGGTGGGAAGTGATGAACATCAGTACTGCTTCCATTCCATTGGATATCAAATTGATCATACGGTCATATCTGAGTTGCAAGAGAAGTTGGTAAATGTAGTGAGGCTAGCTGTTAGTGTGCCAAGCTAAAATACTGTTATTCCAGTGTTTCAAGAGATATTTAAATTGAAAGCTAGCAGTCTCTATCACAAATATATAAGTACTGAAAATTTCTGTGTAAAACATTTTATTCTGGAAGGAATAAGAAGGTCTTAACAGAATTTATCTTTGGAAGACAGATGGGAAGTTGACGACAGAGACATTTTCCCTATAAGGTTGCCCTTTTCTGCTTCCTCCTTTCTACCAATACTTACAAATGTTACACATGTATTACTTTTGTTTGTTTATTTATTTTTCTTCCACAAAGGATATCTGGATTGAGATTGGAGATGTAAGACATTTTTAGGAGGTATGAAAGAAAGGAAGTAGTCAAGGGAGTTTCTCAGATTTGTGATTCAGGCATGAAGGATATTGTCATCAACTGAAAGTTTTGGGAGGGAATATGATGAGTTCTACTTTGAACATAATGAATTTGACTTGGTTGTGAAATACTCACTTTGAGATGCTTAGTAAGCAGGTAATTGTATGGGTCAGAAGCTCATGAGTGAGTCACGACATAGAACAAATATTTGGAGTACATGTGGTAATTGAAACCATGGGAGTAGATGGGATTGCTTCATGAAACAGTATAGAGTGAGAAGAGAAGAGGACCTCTGGAATGTCATGCCAATATGTAAGGGCTGTTATGGGAAGATAAAGTGGGAGGCAGGACCCAAGAAAGGGGCCAGACAAGGAGGAGAAAAAACAGAAGAGTGTGCTATTATAGGAGGCAGGATATTTTTAGAAGAAAGAAAGAATTCAAAATTTCAAATTCTAAGAAGTCAAACACAATTAGGACTTATAAATAACAGATTTAAAGAGAAGTTAATTGATAAACATAGGAAGAGTTGTTTTTATGGAGTAGTGGAAATTGATTGGGATGAATTGACATTTTGCTGTTGTTTTTATTTTGTTTCTAAACTGAGGAACGTAAACATATTTAAATATTAAACTGAATGATCGAATACAGAAATACAGAATAAAACTAATTATTTATAAAGAATAAAAGCAGAGTATACAAGATATAATTAAAGATGAAAGTTCCTTGAGAAGATAGAAGGATATTAAAGAGACTAGCCTTAGAAAAGGAGGAGCACAGATCTTCAGTTATATTAGAAAGGAAGAAAAGAGTGAGTAAGTATATTTGTCATAGTGACAGGAAATTTCTCAAGTTACCATCTAAAGGTTATATTATGTTTCTCTGTGAGGTAGGACAGATTATGTCCTGAGTAAAAAGTGGAAGACAGTGAAGCTGGAATTTTGAGGATTGCGAAGGTCTGAAATAGTTATTATGGAAAATGAGAGGAAGCTGACTGGGGACCCACAGAAAGATTTTTCTCCAGCAACATCTAGCAGCCCTAAACAGACAGTGAGATTCCTTTCTTTTTTCCAGCACTGGGGTTTTGTCAGGTGAATATAAAGGAAAATAGTGCAGAAGAGGATGTCTGTTAGCTAAAAATTATGCAAAGCCATAGACCTAAACTGGACAGAGGAAACAGCAGAATGGGAAGGGAGAAAAGAGGAAAGTGAATAGACTTGCAGTGCCCATGAAATTAATGGACAAATGTGGCAGGAGTCAACAGTGAGCAGCCTGGAGGGACAGGAGGCTGCAGTCATTGAGTGGAGTTGTGATGCGTTCAGAGATGAAGCTGTTTTAGGGGATACCAAGATGCAGGGTATGGCCTCAAAGAGACTATTATGGAGTATTGGGAAGTTTTGTGATGGTGAAGGCATCCAGTAACAAGAGAGTCCAAGTTATTGGATGAATCATCCATAAGCATATTATAATCATCTAGGTCCCATATTCTGGGACCATGACACAATTTTAACTGAGAAGGGAGATGGAGAGTCAGGTGCCAAAGTAAATAAAGAGGCATAATCAGAAGGAAATCATATCTTGGAGAGGATTAGAGAATGGCACAGCTAAATAATGTTAAAGAAGCTTTATCTATGTTTAACTTGGGTCCCTAGTCCTTTAGGTGCAAGATGTGGAAGTGAAAGGAGGAGATGTGACCAACTGAGTTTTACCGAAAGTGATAAAGTAAGGCAGCTTTGCACAGACAGCAATAATTTGAAGCAAATAAATAAATAAATAACAGGATCTATGCTTTCTTTGACCTTGAACAAGACCAGAAAGTAGTCAGGGAGTTTTTGACAAAAACAAATATTAGATGTATAGGAAGAACCAGATAGGATCTCTAAAAGATAATGTTGCTTCCTGCTTATTGCATTGTATTTTTCTCTAGCTTATTGGGATAGATTCTTTAAATCTTCTTGGCAAACCTGTAGATGCCCAGATATGGACCAGAAGTCACCGTTGTGGTATTCCTCAACGATACATGGAGATAGTGAATGTAAAGGAGGTTCTTGCAGGTGGTTTCAATTTTCTGACTGTAGGAGACAGAAAATCAGTATCTGTTTGATGTGCTCTAGTCTGTGTTCTATGAACAGTATATAGACTCCTGAGTTTGCACATGGAGAAATTTGAAGAGAAATCTGCCTACAAAATTGTAATGGTTTGATAGTGAAATCAGAGAAGTAATATATGATTTGCAAATAACTACAAACCTCTGGATGTCCCGGATGCACTGGAAAGCTCCTCATTTAAGGATACCAGCCGCCTTATTGGTTATCACCCAAAACTTGGAATATGATTCAGAAATTTGATATTCAGGTTTTTGAATATGTATTTCTTAGGTCTGGCCATTCTTCCAGATGGCCTAATGTGGCCTAACCATGGATTTATATGCCTAATATTTGTTTTTATAACTTCCAACTACAAACTGAATAAATGAAGAATCCTATTTAAATTACCAGGATTACTGACCTTCCCCTCACTCAACAATATATTTTCCCTATCTATCTTCCCTATCTTTATTATCTTAAAACCTTTATATAGTTTTCTTGACTCATCTCTACTTTTGGTCTTTTTCTTACTTAGCTCTGCACACTTAGTGCAATAATTTGTCTTTTCTCCTCTCTGTACAGTGGATTAAACCAATTTTGTAAAATCCCATTTAAATTTACTTGCTTGTTTATATATTTATGTATTTTTTATTTAAACCTCTAAGTGATCCATGCACCTGGGTTTTTGAAACAATAGGAATTTCAGGATTTTTCAAACTCTTCAGAAAATTAATATGTCATTTCTACAGAACTGTTAATATATTTATGCCAACAGGAGAGCAATTAATAATAAAACATTCTATAACATCCATTTTAAAGGGAAATTTTGCTACAAACTAAAATTAAAGCAGCTTTAAAACTCTCTCATTTAAAGTACAGTGTTCTGTTTCAAGGATATGGGAATTCGTTTCAGAAGTGGCTTTTCTGGGGGGAAAATGGGGACAATTTCCTCTCAAATTTGAGTACTTCCTTGAATCCATTCTTTATTAAATCACCTTTATAAATTAATGAAAAAATGGGCAACTCTATTACTTAAATAACATACAAAATTTGAAACATTTTCTAACTAAGTGTTTTCTGCTTTTTTTGTAGAGGGACTCTGTCCAGAAGGCCTTATAAGCCAGGAATATTTAGTACTCAGTGTAGCAGATATGACAGATGCACAGATTTTCTATGCAGTAAGATAAAGAAAATAACTTAAACATGAAAAAATCCATAATGCATTGTATAAGAAAAATGAATTGTTGAACAATACTTTTTCGTTGTCCTGTTGATATCATTCCTTTGATCAGAATGGATTATTGTATTATCAAAATAGTTTAAAAGAGTATCATCTTTACATTTTTCTAGACCACACAGCCTTTTCTGCCCTCTAGAACCCCTATTCCTGCCCCTAGGGACATACCAGGATGTCTGAAAGAAGCACAGGGAGCTAGCAGTTATAACCTGAAAAAGGTTCACAGTTAAGCCCTGACATAGCTCTAAAGGACTGCTCTAAAGGATAAAATATTCCATAATATTCATAAAGAGAAAGAAGTAAGGCAGCAACTTTTAACAGCCTTTTCTTTAAGTTTTTCCATACAATTACTCAAAAGATAAAAGTACAAAATATGCTTGATTAAATTTGTCTTCTATTTTTTTTCCCAACATAAGAGCATATAATCCAAAAGTATAACTACCCCTGGAATTTATGTTGCTTAGAGGAATGTAGTAGGGGATAAATATAGACAGTGACTAAGGACCACATTATGTGTTTGTGTTGAAGAAATGAGTGGGTAGTTTCACCCTAATGCCAAAGGTGGGGTGAATCCACCCTAACATTTCTGCCCTTGCTTCACTTGAATCAGGATGCAAAGTCTTGCTTTTCCTATTCCCATTTTCTTTCTCTTCCAGAGAAATTCAGTCCTAAAACCATTAAATAAGTCAGAACAAGGCAGTCATCCATACACAGAGGAGTCACATTTGACATGTTAGATCCTAAGCAGGTTGACAAGGGACCCATACACTCTGCAGTGGACATAGAGAGATGGCCCAAGCAGGGTGAGCACAGTGTCCACATGGGGGTATGGCCTTGTGTGGAAGTTAGAGGCTTCATGGAATAAGTTCAGTGTCCATGCTTGAGCTCAGGCTTAGAATGTCAGAGATCAGGATGAAGGGATGTCCATGCAGGGATGGCTCAGGGTGAGGTGTCTCAGCCTGTATTAGGTGAGGAGAGCATCAATACGTGGTGGGAAAGAGATGCCTGGCATAGAGTATCAGCATCTGAGCAGGTGAGGAAGGCATCCTTGGAGGTCTGGTACTGGTTGTTGGAGCCCAAGCTGAAGAAGGAGAGGATTCTCACAGAGGGGTGGCTTGGCAAGAGGTATTAAAACTTAAGCAGGAAAAGAGGCCTCCGTGTTTAGGGACAACTTCACATGAGATGCTGGAGTCCAAACTAGATGAAGTCTTTAATGTGGAGTAGGTGTCCTGGCTTGGGAAATATCAAAGTCCTAGTGGAGTAAGGAGGGATTCCGTACATTGGAGAAACTCGGAGCTGTGTTTCAGAGTCTGAGCAGGGTGGGAGGGGTTCAAGTGGAGGATCAACCTGTAGGTTGCCCAATTGAATCTGAATTTCAGATAAAAAATATTTTTAGTATATCTCAAATATTGCATGGGATATACACATCAAAAAAAAAAGATTTGTTGTTTTCTGAAATTTTTTTTAACAAGACAGCAGATACGTCTTTTTGCTAAATCTGGCAACTCAGTCAGCCTGGTATGTGGAAAGAAGAAAACAAGCATGAATTTTGTCACAAATTGGAATTAGAAATATTAGGACATAGGGATTTCAATAAACATAGATGTGAATATTTGGTTATGTACGTGTATTTCCTAGTTCTGAGATGGCCTTGGATCAGTGGTTCCCCTGCCCCCAAAGCAGTGAGCACAACTAGCACCCAGATCATGGTTTTTCTAAATTCTAGCCTTCACTTAAAGGAATCAGGGCTTATCAGACAAAGGCTGGAGTCCAGAGCTGGGGCAGGAGAAATAGAAAACAAACCCAGAGCATATTTAATGCGAAGCAAGGAAGCACTGAAAGACTCATGGGGACATGAAAAGAACACAGAAGCCACTTTAAAGGGCTGTCACTGGTCAAACCTGGGATAATTTGAGCACCAAAATAATAATAATAATCAATATAAATTAATAAGTGAGTAAATTAAAAATTTGATGGGAAAAGTGTATTCACATAATTCCAAAGTAACTCTTTATAAAAATGCTTAATTACTAAGTGGGAAAGAGTGACTTAACCATGGAGCAGTCAGGAAGACACCACCCTAATAACATGGTCAAAGTGGAATGGAAAAATCAAAACCAGAATCCTGCACCCCTGAGAGAAAGCAATGAGAAGAGCATAACATTGCATCCGTGGTATTCTTACCAAATATGTATAACCTAGTCCAATCACAAAAGCTCATGAATATTGTATAAAGAATGAAGAACTGTCCCAGTCTGAAGAAAATATACATGGAAAGTAAATGTTATGCATAATTCTAAACATGATTCTTTTGCCCTACAGAACACTATAAACACACCTGGGAAAAACTGAGTGAGGTCCAAAGAGTAGTTGGTAGGAATTGCAACGATGTTAATTTCCTGATTTTGATGGTTGTATTATTGTTATGTAGAAGAAAGTCCTTATTTGTAAGAAATACTAAGTTTACTCTGGGATGATGACTTACCAGATTGACAAATTGCATTGAAATTATTCAAAATAAAAGTTATTTGTACTGTACTGCAGCTTTTTTGTAAGAGGGATTCTTTAAAATTTTTTTAAATGTCTTTAAAAAAATGCAAAATCTAAGGAAAGCAAATCAGTTTGAAGATTCCTGTTATAGTTAAGGAGTGAGATGAGGTTCATACTGGAGTATTTGTAAGAGAAATGGAGATGATGATGCAAATTTGATTAATATTTATGGAGCAAAATTAGCAAGTCTTAGAGATCAATTTGACATAGTGGTGAGAAGAAAAGAGTCTAATATAAATACCAGGTTTGGGGTTTTGGGTGACTACGGGTGCAATTGTTTGAGATAGAATTATATGAAGAGAAGAAGCTGTGGAAAATAGACAATGGGTCCACTTTTGATCATAATTAACTTTAAACACCCATTTAACATCTGAGCAGATAAGACCAGTAAGCTTAAGGTACAGATCAGGGCTGTATTTCTGAGTCATTAGCATATAGATAAGGCTAGAATTATATATATAAAATAAGGAAGAACTCACCCAGGCACAATGCATAGGAAGAGAAGAATAGTACATCAAGAATGGAATCCTAGGAAAAATCAAACAGAAATAATGAAAGACAATGAAGAAACAGAGAGGGACAAGAAGAAGCTGGCACCCTAGTGAACCCTTTCATTGAAGTATGCTCACTGAATTCGCAATATGATGACCATTAGTGACCTGAGAGAAGTTTCAGAGCAATAGTGGAGTGACAATCAGATTTTCACAGGTTGAAAATGAAAGGAAAGTCGAAACATGTTTCTGTCAAGAAGCTTGGTTGAGAATTTCCAGTTTAAAATAGCATTCTACTGGCAGGTTCCAACAAAGCTTTTCCTAGTTTTATTAGCATTAAAATGCTAATAAAAAGTCTTCCACTTAGTATCAACAAATTGACAAATCAACAATTATTTATTTAGTGGTAACTTTGTGCCAGTCATTGCACCATGCAGGGCAAAATAATAGATATACTTCCTGCCCTCTTTGAACTTATAGTCTAGCTAAGAAGAAAACTGTTATTTCAAAATTATACTTGTTTAAAGTTCTATGAATTTTAATACTAATGTTTGGAGCTCTTGTAAGTGGCATTTTTAAATTTTTTTATTTTTCATCTGTCAATTGGAATGTGGAAACCTTACCATCATTTGGATCCCTTTACAGTTTCCCATATATCCTATAATTATCCTCTATATTATATCTACATGCTTTGGAAATGTCACCAATGCTATACTTTTTTATTTCAACTCTCAAATATATTTTAAGTAACACAACAGAAGATTAGTCTATTATATTTACCCAAATAATCTATTATATTTACCATTTAGTGGCTCTCCTTTCATTCCTGATATTCCAAGTTCTTCTACTATTATTTACCCTCTATATGAATTGCCTTAGGATTCTTCCAGTTGAAAATGTTTATATTCTTTATTTTTGAAGATTATTTTTCTTGGATATAGAATTATTTCTTAACAGTTCTTTCCTTTTAGCACTTCAAAAATATTGTGCCTATTTCTTTTGGCTCTATAGTTTCTGATGAGAAATCCATAGTCATTTAACTCCTCATTAACATATAGGTAATGTTATTTTGCTCTGATTTTTTTCAAGATTTTATATTTTTTGTCTTTGATTTTCAGCAGTTTGATTATAATGTGTCTGAACATAGATTTCATGGGTTTATTCTGTTTGATGTATACTCAGCTTCTTGAATCTGTAGGTTTGTATTTTTTCAGAACTTGAGGTGTGTGTTTTTCCAAACTTGAGAACTTTTCAGTCATTATTTCTTTATATATATATTTTAGTACCACATTCTCTTCTCCTTCTGGGACTCTAATGACATCAATGTTAGACTTTTTGTTACTGTCCTACATGTTTCCTAAGGGTCTCTTCATTTTTTAAAAAAGTCTTTGCTCTCTCTGCCTTTCAGGTTGGATCATTTCCATTTGCTCTCTTGTTTTTATGTTTGCAGTCTCTTACCTTTGTCATCTCTCTTTTACTATTGAGCTCTTCCAGTGAGTTAGATTTTTTCCTTCTTTAAATTTTTTTAATTGAGGTGTAGTTGATATACAATATTATATTGGTTTCAAGTATACAACACAGTGGTTCAACAGTTACACACATTATTAAATCTTCACCCCAACTAGTGCAGTTACTGTCAACATAGAAGATGTTACAGAGCTAGTGACTATATTCTCCATGTTGCCCTTCCATCCCCGGGACCAACTTACATTATGATTGACATTTTTGTTCCTCTTTATCCTCCTCACCCTTCCCACTCCCTCATCCCAACCCCTCCTCCGTGGTAACAACCCTTACTTCTCAATGTCTATGAGTCTACTGCTATATTATTCATTTTGTTTTGTTTTGTTTTTAGATTCCACATGTAAGTGAAATCAAATGATTATTTGTCTTTTTCCACCTGGCTTATTTCATTTAGCATAGTACCCTCTAGGTCCATCCATGTTGTCACAAATGACAGGATTCCTTTATTTTTAATGACTGAATAATATTCCATTGTGTATATGTACCACTTCTTCTTTATCCATTCATCTATTGATGGGCACTTTGGTTGCTTCCACAACTTGGCTATTGTAAATAATGTGGCAATAAACATTGGGATGCATATATTTTTCAAATCAGAAATTTTGTTTCCTTCATGTAAATTGCTAGTAGTGGAGTTACTCAGTCATATGATATTTCTATTTTTAGTTTTTTGAGGAACCTTCATACTGTTTTCCATAGTGACTGCACTGATTTACATTCCTACCAACAGTGTAGGAGGATTCCCTTTTCTCCACATCCTTGCCAACACTTGTTTGTCTTTTGGATAGTGGCCATTCTGACTGGCATGAGGTGACATCTCATTGTGGTTTTGATTTGTATTTCTCTGATGATTAGTGATGTGGAGCATCTTTTCATGTGCCTGCTGGCCATCTGTATTTCTTCTTTGGAGAAGTATCTGTTCAGGTCCTCTGCCCATATTTCAATTGGGTTATTGTTTCTTTGGCATTGAGGCATATGAGTTCTTTATATATTTTGGATGTTAACCCCTTATCAGATAAATCATTTATGAATATATTCTTCCACACTGTTAAGTTGTTTTTGTTTTTTGTTTTTTGTTGTTGTTGTTGAGACCCTGAAGCAGACAACCTAGCCAAGCCATGCCTAGACTCCTCATCACAGAAACTGTGATATAATATGTGTGTTGCTTTAAGTTGTTAAGTTTTTGGTAATTTGTGAAACAGCATAGAAAATGAAACAAAATACCACTGAAAAAGACGGACCCATGATCTATATGAGAAACTCAAAAAAAGAAAAACAAACAAATGGCAAAAGAAAAATGCTCATCAGAATAATACTGCCATGGAACAGATAAAAAAATGAGAACAGAAAAGCCATCTTTAAAAAAACTTAATAAAGCAACTTAAAATAACAGATCAAAGCAAAGAAACTGAGGTCAAGGAAGATGTGGCAAGACAACAGAAGATGAAACCACTAACAGAACATAGGAAAACCTTAAAAGGAAAAAGTAAAACCATTACAAAGGCGAAGATCACATTGAAAATAGCACAAAGAACCAAAAAGGCTGGGAAAAACAGTAAAGGATATGTCATGACTGAGAAATACTAACAAGGAATTTAAAAGATTAAGAAAAATTATAAATAAGCACTGATAAATCAGGTTTAATGTATAAATACTTGGATGCCTCAAGATGCCAAAATAGTAGAACAGAAAATAAAGCTACAGATAGATGTATAGATATTTAAGGAAATAATTAAAAAAGCTTCAGAAATACTTTCTTTAATAATTAAAGGGCATATTATGGAAAGTAAATTGGTGCAGTCACTATGGAAAACAGTTAGGGGGCATCACCTAAAACTAAAAATAGAGCTGTCCCAGGATAGAACAATTTTGCTTCTGGAAATTTATCTGAAGAAAACAAAAGCACTAGCTCAAAAAGATATTGATACCTCCCTGTTCACTGCAGCATTATTTACAATAGTCAAGATAGGGAAACCACTTAAGTGTCCATCAGTGGATGGCTGGATAAAAACAAAATGTGGTATATATGTGAAATGTAATACTATTCAACCATAAAAAAGAATGAAATCTTGCCATTTGCAACAGGGATGGGCCTTAAGGGAATTATGCTAATAAATGAAATAAGACAGAGAAAGAGAAATACCATTTGATCTCACTTGTATATGAAATCCCCCCCCAAAGAAATCGAGCTTGCAGATACAGAAAACAAATCAGTGGCTGCCAGAGTTGGGGTTTTGACAAAATGGATGAAAAGAGTCAAAGGTACAAATTTCCACTGAGCTATAGAATAAGTAATCCTTAAGGATGTAATATATAGCATGAAGACTATAGTATCTACAGTATTGTGTGTGTGTGTGTGTTGTATATTTGAAAGTTATTAAGAGAGTAGATCTTAAAAGTTTTCATCCCAAGAAAAATATTTGAAACTATGTGGTGACAGATGTTAACTAGACTTATTGTGCTGATCATTTCACATTATATACAAATGCTGAGTCATTACATGTACACCTGAAATATAATGTTATATATTAATTATACCTCAGTTTAAAAACAAGTAAAATAAAAACAACCTTGTAAAGAAAAAAATTTAAAAAGCTCATACTATGTGCCAGGAAAAAGCAACACAATATAGTCCCCATTTGAACATTGCCTAGTGAGTTAGAGGAAAAGAAATCCTTTAAATATCCAAGCAAAAATGTGAAATAACTCATTAGAGAGTTTAATGTTTCTGGGTTTAGTCAGGAAAACATCTACTCTAAGTATTCCGACAATTTAGTATTCAACATAGGAAATACAGCTTCCATGAATGCCGTAAACTGTAGGGCAGCATAGAACAGAAAATTTGCCATGAAAAGGCAGTTAATTATGGTCTAAAGGTCAGAGAAAAAGACATTGAAGACCTCTTAACCTCAAACACCAACAAGTGTTTCATAAAAAGCAGCTATCAAAAGATTTCCAGTAAATTGCTGCAATTTTCAAGAACCTTTGAGAAAGCTCCTACTAATCATCTCAGTGTTCAGCAGCTAAGCAGATGGTTTCCCATTCTACCAAGAAGCCACTGTGAATCTCACATTCATTCAGGTCTCTGGCTAAGTCACGTCTGAGAATAGTGGTCTCCACTTCTCTTAAGTCTTCCAAATGTCACTTGCACTCCTGTCATTGGAAAACGCTAACCTGAAGCAGCTATGCAGAGAAAGGAATTCACAGAAAGGTAGGTAGTTCCCAGTTTCAGCTCTGCAATACAGAATCAGCTTTACACTGGTGTGATAGTAACTGCTGCTTGGCAATTGACAATCCTGCCTAGGGTGAAAATTCAGGCTGGCGTCAAACAATAACAGGCATTGCTCAGGGACAGTGGAGGGATCCTAAATAGACCTTAATGCAAGAGGTGTCAACCAAGAACTTGTATACAGCCAAATCTATTATTCAAGTATAAGCAAATAGGCAAATATTGTGGAAACATGCAGTAACTTGTGGTGTATAGTTCTCATGAGCACTTCCTGAAAAAACTCCTAGAGGATGACTTTCATGACAAAGGAGAGAGGACTGGCAAAATAAAAAGCTGCACTGAAAGAAATATCCATAAGCCTTGAATCTTAACTGACTGATGAAGACTAAAACAAATCTGAATATATAATTACAAAAAATGTAAATAAAAATAAATTGTGGCAATATGCAAATGATGTAATTAGTGAAACTTGGGAGGAGAAGAGAGAGGTGGAAAAATGTGCTTAATTTCCACATCTTTTATACCCACAGGTCAAAATATATTATTTAAGGCTGATAAACCAATCAATAGAGATGCAAGTAAATATAAATGTGTTTAAATATTTAATCAAATGCAAAAGTATAAGAAGAATATAATCAATGAAATTTAGTGATGAGAAATGAAGAAAAATGCCAAGAGGAAACATACTGACTGCATCATTGCTCATACTATCATCAATAGATGCACATACACAGAATGAAGTACAGAAAATATAAACTACATAGTAAAAGATTTTTTAAAAGGAGCCCTAAAATAGAAATCATACATAAAATATGAAGTAATAAATAAGGCCAAGCTCAAAAACCTAAAGTAGCCTCAAAGATCCAATAGTAGTTAGTGATTTTTAAGTTTTCCTCTAAGGGTAGTGTGATTGCAAAATAAAACCCCTGGTTGCCACTGTGTGTGAGAATTAATTTATTCTCCCACTCTCCTTCCTAGTGGAACCCAGGAATGATTATCTAATCTTGGAAAAGAAATTTATTTCCTGAAAAGTATTGTGATAACATTGGACTAGATAGAAAAAACAATTCCAGGCCATAAAGTTGATTTTGCCATTCAGGAAATGAAGAGCAACTGAAAACTTTTGAAAATACTAATTGAATGAGGAAAGTGAGTAGATTCAGATCAATTTGGAATGATCTAGGGGGAGAAATAAGAGATGAAAATAAGGGATGTTATTGAATCCTAGAATATTGCAGCTGGAACAGTCTTTAGAGGGCAGAAGTGAAGTGACTTATAGGTGACACAATTATTCAGAGATAGAATTACACTAGAGTCCACATGTCTTCACTTCTATACTTCCATGCTCTCTCAAGCCGACCAGGCTGACTATTCCTAAAAAAGAATATCTTGTTCTTTATGACTGGCTACTGGTTGGAGGGGGGACATCAAAGATGATGGGATTATGCCTAAGAATTAGGAGAATGATGTCATTATTATTGGAAAAATTATCCTATTTTTTAGAGAAAGAAAAAATTTTATGTAAATCTTTATGGACTTTCTTTTTCTTTCCAGGTAATGCAGATCATGATGAAGCCATATGTATACATTGTTGCTTTTTATTTCTTGAACGATTTAATTACATTGTGTGAAATCGAGCTTTCAGTTGCTCCTTTATTTACAGATTACCGATTTTGGTATCCAAGATGGGGAGTGCCCCGGCCAGTTGTGTGTGATCCACTGTGCATATTTGTAATCTTACCGAGAATGATGTGTTTTTCAATATGTACCATAATTGTATTGCTAATACAGTCTCAGTTTCCAAATACATTATTGGAACAACAGTTAGTATATGCCTCTGGGGTAGCTGAAGGGAAGCCAGAACATGAAGAGATAGAGGTAGAGCTGGAGGAAGACGTGGGAAAGGAGGAGGACATACTGGAGGAAGAGGATGAGGAAGAGGAAGAGGCACAGTGAAGAGGAAGGGAGGAGGTTGAGGAGAAGAGGCAGCACAAGATTTATCATAGGATAGACCAACAAAAAAAGGCAAAAAAATGTAAAAAATAAAACACTGAGCTTTAAGAAGAAAGAGGCTTATTTCATTTAGCATAGTACCCTCTAGGTCCATCCATGTTGTCACAAATGACAGGATTCCTTTATTTTTAATGACTGAATAATATTCCATTGTGTATATGTACCACTTCTTCTTTATCCATTCATCTATTGATGGGCACTTTGGTTGCTTCCACAAGTTGGCTATTGTAAATAATGTGGCAATAAACATTGGGATGCATATATTTTTCAAATCAGAAATTTTGTTTCCTTCATGTAAATTGCTAGTAGTGGAGTTACTCAGTCATATGATATTTCTATTTTTAGTTTTTTGAGGAACCTTCATACTGTTTTCCATAGTGACTGCACTGATTTACATTCCTACCAACAGTGTAGGAGGATTCCCTTTTCTCCACATCCTTGCCAACACTTGTTTGTCTTTTGGATAGTGGCCATTCTGACTGGCATGAGGTGACATCTCATTGTGGTTTTGATTTGTATTTCTCTGATGATTAGTGATGTGGAGCATCTTTTCATGTGCCTGCTGGCCATCTGTATTTCTTCTTTGGAGAAGTATCTGTTCAGGTCCTCTGCCCATATTTCAATTGGGTTATTGTTTCTTTGGCATTGAGGCATATGAGTTCTTTATATATTTTGGATGTTAACCCCTTATCAGATAAATCATTTATGAATATATTCTTCCACACTGTTAAGTTGTTTTTGTTTTTTGTTTTTTGTTGTTGTTGTTGAGACCCTGAAGCAGACAACCTAGCCAAGCCATGCCTAGACTCCTCATCACAGAAACTGTGATATAATATGTGTGTTGCTTTAAGTTGTTAAGTTTTTGGTAATTTGTGAAACAGCATAGAAAATGAAACAAAATACCACTGAAAAAGACGGACCCATGATCTATATGAGAAACTCAAAAAAAGAAAAACAAACAAATGGCAAAAGAAAAATGCTCATCAGAATAATACTGCCATGGAACAGATAAAAAAATGAGAACAGAAAAGCCATCTTTAAAAAAACTTAATAAAGCAACTTAAAATAACAGATCAAAGCAAAGAAACTGAGGTCAAGGAAGATGTGGCAAGACAACAGAAGATGAAACCACTAACAGAACATAGGAAAACCTTAAAAGGAAAAAGTAAAACCATTACAAAGGCGAAGATCACATTGAAAATAGCACAAAGAACCAAAAAGGCTGGGAAAAACAGTAAAGGATATGTCATGACTGAGAAATACTAACAAGGAATTTAAAAGATTAAGAAAAATTATAAATAAGCACTGATAAATCAGGTTTAATGTATAAATACTTGGATGCCTCAAGATGCCAAAATAGTAGAACAGAAAATAAAGCTACAGATAGATGTATAGATATTTAAGGAAATAATTAAAAAAGCTTCAGAAATACTTTCTTTAATAATTAAAGGGCATATTATGGAAAGTAAATTGGTGCAGTCACTATGGAAAACAGTTAGGGGGCATCACCTAAAACTAAAAATAGAGCTGTCCCAGGATAGAACAATTTTGCTTCTGGAAATTTATCTGAAGAAAACAAAAGCACTAGCTCAAAAAGATATTGATACCTCCCTGTTCACTGCAGCATTATTTACAATAGTCAAGATAGGGAAACCACTTAAGTGTCCATCAGTGGATGGCTGGATAAAAACAAAATGTGGTATATATGTGAAATGTAATACTATTCAACCATAAAAAAGAATGAAATCTTGCCATTTGCAACAGGGATGGGCCTTAAGGGAATTATGCTAATAAATGAAATAAGACAGAGAAAGAGAAATACCATTTGATCTCACTTGTATATGAAATCCCCCCCCAAAGAAATCGAGCTTGCAGATACAGAAAACAAATCAGTGGCTGCCAGAGTTGGGGTTTTGACAAAATGGATGAAAAGAGTCAAAGGTACAAATTTCCACTGAGCTATAGAATAAGTAATCCTTAAGGATGTAATATATAGCATGAAGACTATAGTATCTACAGTATTGTGTGTGTGTGTGTGTTGTATATTTGAAAGTTATTAAGAGAGTAGATCTTAAAAGTTTTCATCCCAAGAAAAATATTTGAAACTATGTGGTGACAGATGTTAACTAGACTTATTGTGCTGATCATTTCACATTATATACAAATGCTGAGTCATTACATGTACACCTGAAATATAATGTTATATATTAATTATACCTCAGTTTAAAAACAAGTAAAATAAAAACAACCTTGTAAAGAAAAAAATTTAAAAAGCTCATACTATGTGCCAGGAAAAAGCAACACAATATAGTCCCCATTTGAACATTGCCTAGTGAGTTAGAGGAAAAGAAATCCTTTAAATATCCAAGCAAAAATGTGAAATAACTCATTAGAGAGTTTAATGTTTCTGGGTTTAGTCAGGAAAACATCTACTCTAAGTATTCCGACAATTTAGTATTCAACATAGGAAATACAGCTTCCATGAATGCCGTAAACTGTAGGGCAGCATAGAACAGAAAATTTGCCATGAAAAGGCAGTTAATTATGGTCTAAAGGTCAGAGAAAAAGACATTGAAGACCTCTTAACCTCAAACACCAACAAGTGTTTCATAAAAAGCAGCTATCAAAAGATTTCCAGTAAATTGCTGCAATTTTCAAGAACCTTTGAGAAAGCTCCTACTAATCATCTCAGTGTTCAGCAGCTAAGCAGATGGTTTCCCATTCTACCAAGAAGCCACTGTGAATCTCACATTCATTCAGGTCTCTGGCTAAGTCACGTCTGAGAATAGTGGTCTCCACTTCTCTTAAGTCTTCCAAATGTCACTTGCACTCCTGTCATTGGAAAACGCTAACCTGAAGCAGCTATGCAGAGAAAGGAATTCACAGAAAGGTAGGTAGTTCCCAGTTTCAGCTCTGCAATACAGAATCAGCTTTACACTGGTGTGATAGTAACTGCTGCTTGGCAATTGACAATCCTGCCTAGGGTGAAAATTCAGGCTGGCGTCAAACAATAACAGGCATTGCTCAGGGACAGTGGAGGGATCCTAAATAGACCTTAATGCAAGAGGTGTCAACCAAGAACTTGTATACAGCCAAATCTATTATTCAAGTATAAGCAAATAGGCAAATATTGTGGAAACATGCAGTAACTTGTGGTGTATAGTTCTCATGAGCACTTCCTGAAAAAACTCCTAGAGGATGACTTTCATGACAAAGGAGAGAGGACTGGCAAAATAAAAAGCTGCACTGAAAGAAATATCCATAAGCCTTGAATCTTAACTGACTGATGAAGACTAAAACAAATCTGAATATATAATTACAAAAAATGTAAATAAAAATAAATTGTGGCAATATGCAAATGATGTAATTAGTGAAACTTGGGAGGAGAAGAGAGAGGTGGAAAAATGTGCTTAATTTCCACATCTTTTATACCCACAGGTCAAAATATATTATTTAAGGCTGATAAACCAATCAATAGAGATGCAAGTAAATATAAATGTGTTTAAATATTTAATCAAATGCAAAAGTATAAGAAGAATATAATCAATGAAATTTAGTGATGAGAAATGAAGAAAAATGCCAAGAGGAAACATACTGACTGCATCATTGCTCATACTATCATCAATAGATGCACATACACAGAATGAAGTACAGAAAATATAAACTACATAGTAAAAGATTTTTTAAAAGGAGCCCTAAAATAGAAATCATACATAAAATATGAAGTAATAAATAAGGCCAAGCTCAAAAACCTAAAGTAGCCTCAAAGATCCAATAGTAGTTAGTGATTTTTAAGTTTTCCTCTAAGGGTAGTGTGATTGCAAAATAAAACCCCTGGTTGCCACTGTGTGTGAGAATTAATTTATTCTCCCACTCTCCTTCCTAGTGGAACCCAGGAATGATTATCTAATCTTGGAAAAGAAATTTATTTCCTGAAAAGTATTGTGATAACATTGGACTAGATAGAAAAAACAATTCCAGGCCATAAAGTTGATTTTGCCATTCAGGAAATGAAGAGCAACTGAAAACTTTTGAAAATACTAATTGAATGAGGAAAGTGAGTAGATTCAGATCAATTTGGAATGATCTAGGGGGAGAAATAAGAGATGAAAATAAGGGATGTTATTGAATCCTAGAATATTGCAGCTGGAACAGTCTTTAGAGGGCAGAAGTGAAGTGACTTATAGGTGACACAATTATTCAGAGATAGAATTACACTAGAGTCCACATGTCTTCACTTCTATACTTCCATGCTCTCTCAAGCCGACCAGGCTGACTATTCCTAAAAAAGAATATCTTGTTCTTTATGACTGGCTACTGGTTGGAGGGGGGACATCAAAGATGATGGGATTATGCCTAAGAATTAGGAGAATGATGTCATTATTATTGGAAAAATTATCCTATTTTTTAGAGAAAGAAAAAATTTTATGTAAATCTTTATGGACTTTCTTTTTCTTTCCAGGTAATGCAGATCATGATGAAGCCATATGTATACATTGTTGCTTTTTATTTCTTGAACGATTTAATTACATTGTGTGAAATCGAGCTTTCAGTTGCTCCTTTATTTACAGATTACCGATTTTGGTATCCAAGATGGGGAGTGCCCCGGCCAGTTGTGTGTGATCCACTGTGCATATTTGTAATCTTACCGAGAATGATGTGTTTTTCAATATGTACCATAATTGTATTGCTAATACAGTCTCAGTTTCCAAATACATTATTGGAACAACAGTTAGTATATGCCTCTGGGGTAGCTGAAGGGAAGCCAGAACATGAAGAGATAGAGGTAGAGCTGGAGGAAGACGTGGGAAAGGAGGAGGACATACTGTAGGAAGAGGATGAGGAAGAGGAAGAGGCACAGTGAAGAGGAAGGGAGGAGGTTGAGGAGAAGAGGCAGCACAAGATTTATCATAGGATAGACCAACAAAAAAAGGCAAAAAAATGTAAAAAATAAAACACTGAGCTTTAAGAAGAAAGACTGGCCACACCACTATTGCAATACCTTTTATTTCTTTCTCTTTCCCATACTTATTCAACACATTTAAGTTTAAAAAACAAAGACACAAATTAAAACATGTATTTTAAAGTAAGTATTGAAAGACAAGCTCTTGAAACACTAAGATCAAATAAAGATGTGATGATAAAAATACTGAAAAAGATTGACCAGTCTAATTAACCTTAAGGTTTCACGATGTCATCCTGATAAAGGAGGGAATTACCATTTTCTAAATATGTTTCTATCTCTGTGGTTTAAATATTTTTAAATTAGTTAATAAGTTTCTTGAGCATTAGGATCATACATGTGAGGTGGGCAAAACAATTCCAAATTCAGAACATTTAACAACTTTGGATTTCGTTGTTTTTATCATTGCTAGTATAGATGTTACTGGTAGTGGTGACAGTGATGGTGGTGACATTTTCCATATGATACCAAGGTGTATCATTATTTATCTTTGCAGTGTATGTGTTTAGAAAGGTGTAAGTGGTATTGCATATGCTCCTAGATAAATTTATCATTTCTACTTCATGTTCAATTTCATTAAAGCCTTGCTGTAATTCTTTACTAGGCTATATAATTTGTTGCTACCAAGGGCTAATAAATGTCAAGCATGCAATCAGTTGTGAATGAGCAATCTGGCTGCTCCCAAAAATATGTGAAAAAATAAAATGTTTATAATAGTTATTTACCTGCAGTTATTCAATATGTATAATAGAAGTTCATAAATTAGTAGTATAAATAACTGCTCACCACTTCTAAGACTAATAAATGAACTACATAAAAATATCTATCATAGCCAAAAGACACAAAATGGTATAAATGCTATATTTGTTAATTCTATTATATGAAAAGCCTGTTCTTAAATGGGAAAACTATCCAAAATCCCTGAACTATGTCTTGTTAGATTTTTTAGTTTCTGGGGTTTTGTTTGTTTGTTTCTATTTGCTTTGTTTTGTTATTTTCAAGATCTCTGCTTTTTAGATATATGTGTATTTTGTTTCTATGAAATCTACCTCTTTTCTACCCAGCCTCCTGAAGAAAAGCTTTAGGTAGAGAAAAGGGCTGGTTCTCCACAGTGATTTTATTTATTACTGTATTATATTTGTATACCATCTCATAGCTTCCAAAGTATGTTCACATAATTATTTAATGCTTAAAACCACCCTATAGTTGGTATCATGTCCAATATTAAAATTTTCAGAAAACTGACTTTGGATTTGTGAAGTGGTTTCTCTAAGATAGAGGACAAATTAATTTTTGAGCATTCTGATGCACTTATAAGCATAAATTCTTCATGATACCTTGTACAATTCCAACCCTGTGATTAATTCATTATGTATCTACATATCTAACTTCTATTTTTTTGCATCTACTCTTCAGCATATTCTCTAAATAATTTCATGAAATGTGAATGCTGTAGGCCAGTGGTTCTTAACTGGGGAACATTTTGCTACCTCCCTCTCCACCCCCAGAACATTTGACAATATCTGAGAACAGGACTGCTGCAATCTCGACAGTTCTGCAGGCGTCCAGTGGGAAGAGGCCAGGCATGCTGCTAAATACCCAGTAATGCACAAGATGTCCCACAGCAAAGACTTATCCCATCTAAGATGGCCAGAGGGCTGAGGTTGGGAAATACTGCTGTAGGCTTATTTCCACCCAGGACATGTGGAAATTGTGGATACATTATTATATTTCCTTAAACTCTCATTTTTCTAAATATTGTTTTTCCATTGTCTTTCCTATCCTCCCTCCCTCACTTTCCATATCTACAAGTTGCCATGGGAATACTCATCTTATTATTGTGATTCTATCCCCCTAGCTTTGGGATGATCCACTAATCACAGCGGGATATGATCATAGTCCTTGGTTTGTGGAATCTAGACAGACATTCAGGGCAGGTTGTCCTTGGGGGCTACAGTTTTCACATGTAAAGCTCTGAGGCTATTTAGCAGCCTGCAGGGAAGGAAAGAAGGGAACACAATGGACAGAGAAGCACTTAGAAACTGTTGTCCCTGATACCTAGTTTTATCACAACATTTCACATAACTTTATTTCCAGAATATACCCTCTTTCCATCCAGTAAGGATGGAAAACCTTTTTTCCTCAGGTTGTGTTGAGTTTGGATTCTGTAACTGACAGGACATTCTTATTTAGAAAGTTCACTCATAAGTTACAAAGTTATTTTCATTATTCTGAAAGAGCATGAACAACAATGACACTAAAATGTATAGATGTCTTCAGAGTATCATGGTCCAAGGAACAGAGCATCTTCTTAAGTTTATATCCCAAGTCTTTGTTCTTGGTATCATCTCCTTGTAAATCAGAGCCACATACCTTATGTACTTAAAATTCTTATTTTTATCTTTGTTATACAAATTATAAGTTGACTCAGCCAGCATAAGGGATTATTAGCATGAATCCTGCAGATGCCAGAGAAAATTACTTTTATTCTGTTTCCATGGCACTCAGTTCAGGAATGTAGTTTGGCCAGGGCGTTCTGGCCTAGATAATGATCTGGAATCATGGCTGAGCATTTGGTTCATTCCTTAAAGTACTATGTATTCTAATCTGCATTGCAAAACTCTGCAACTATTGAAATGCTTCTGGCCCCGGTAAGGAAGTGTCTAGACTACATTATGTGCAGGAATGTTCTAGCAAACAACTGAGCCAGAGGAAGACAGATATACTTTTAGTCTTTCATTCATTTATATTTTAGCCTCTGCAGCCACACATATGCTGGTGAAGTTTAGTACTAGGAATTTTGTGCCCTTTGGTCCTGGAAAATGTTGCTAACCTCTCTGCCATATATCCTGACATTCTCTTGTATCCTTTTCACAAAAAAACCTGTTTGATATTCTCAAGTGTTTGTGAGTTATCTGTCACTTGTGAGTGTTGCAGCTGTGCAGAGTAACAGCCATTGGAAATGGCACACAGACTCCATATTCAATATGGATAAATCTCTGTGGGGAAAGCTAGGATAACAAAGGGGATGGAGATGACACAATGATGTTGTGATGTTTTTGTGATGTTAGTTTTCCGTTTGCATTGTGTCTAGCTGAGGGCTTGAGAAAGTATGAAAGAATAAGGACACTTAATACATATTGACAAAGCATTAATGATCAATGGTGTCTTGAGTCCTCCATTTAAACGATCAAGGGTCAAGTATGGTATTCTTTGAAACTAGATAAAGGTGAAGATTGTTGGGTTTGCTACAGATTCTTCACTTTCTCCTAGTGATGAGCTACAGTGCTCTGTGGTAAAAGACATTACACAAAGGGAGGCTGAGGAAGAGCTGGAGTGAGGGCAGAATGTTCACGGGGAGCAACGTAAGCAATAGGGGAGGAGCTAGAGTCCCTAGGACCTGAAATTATACAGCATAGCTACGAACTTGTCTGCATCATTCAATAGAAGGTTGCTTGGAACCCAGGTTGGTCAGCCGTGTGGGCTGGGGGAAGTACGGAGCACTGGATGATACCTTTTCCTTCCCTTCCCTAGCAGAAGATCAACATTTTTGTCCTGAAGAGGTAATTGCAAAAAGCACATGCCCACTAAAGTTCAATTGGACTGAATAAATCTGGGAGGAGGAGGGGCTCACACTCCGCATGGGATCTGGGAACGTAACCTTGGGTAGGTGTAGACATGGATGTTTTTCTTTGATATTCTTTAATTAAATATTTACATAAGTTTTTGCTTCCTCGCATAATGGATCATTACTTTTTTTTCATTTACGTGCATGATGTATCAGTATTAAATAGTTAAAAATGTTTAACATTATTTACTAGGAAAATTACTATACTTCACTTTTTCCTACCTCCCCAGTCTCTGAACGGGTTTGGAGTTGAAGAAAACTCCTCATGTTAATCCCATGGTATTGGCATTATCCCTTCAACTTGCTGCCTACCTCTAGCTTGAAAAGCCCAGGCTAAGCCTGTCCTGCAAATACAAAATCATGCCATTATGACATTGCCAAGAATCAAGCACAGATGATAAACTTTAACATCTCTGTAGTCTGTGATGAATACATAGATGTCTATTGTATAACCCTCTATACCTTTTTATAAATTTGAAATGTTTCACGTTTATAATGTAAGAATAGAAATAGGTTAGCATAAGCATAGCCATCTTAAAGGCCTAGAAGCCATTTTCTGAGTATGTGACTTAGAAAGAAAAACTGGAACTGGGTAAGGCCTTGAAAAACAAGCTAATCATGAACACCAGATGGTGGGCAGCTGTGGCCTTTAGTCAGCTAACCTTGGTCAGCTAATCCTACATACCAAGCTTATCTTGCAGAACCTCCCTGACAATTGAGGAGTGGTCTTATCTTGCTCCTGCCTAACCCCAGGATGTATGTCTTGCAAGAATAATGTGCAGCTGTGGAAAATTATATGAGTTAAGTGTTTTGAAAATGCTATATAAACCCTTGGCTTTGAGTGCTCGGGGTCCTTGTTGAGACCCGCTGCGTCGGGCTGACTTGGACCCCAGCTAGCTGGCTGAATAAAGACTTTGCTTGAATTTACATCTCTATGCCTGTGTAGTTTGTTCTCTGGAGAAGCCTCGGAAGCCCGGACCCTAACAATAAAACATAAACAGAATGAAAATTAAAGAAGAATCTACAGTCTCAGTCTCCCTATGAATCTGTACTTTTCTCCTTACACTTCTGTAGTTTCCTAAACAGAATGAACTTTTCTGGTTCAAATATTATTCCATTCACAGCATGAAATTTCTGCTTTTCACTTTTTCTTGTCTGAGTCCCACCCTTTCTGATGAGTTTAAATTTCATCTCCTACAGAAAACCATATGAAATATCCTTATTTCTCAATTAGCCATTTCCTCTTGTACACGGCTGAAGTATCTATGACGTGGCCTCTTCTTGCATCTCAGTCTGCCTGTTAATAGACATATCTTTTTCCTGTTGTCCCTTTTTCTTCCCAGTTAGTTGTTAAATGCCAGCA